ATGCACAATGCAGGCAGAGATGCGGGATGGAGGATTAAACAGCTCACCTGGTAGAGCATGGCGTAGTTCAAGCTGGCGGTTCCTCATCGCTATTTCTAGGACAGCAATGGTAAAACCTCCTTCCCTGGTGTAGATATAGATATATATTTGCAGGCAAGGGTGTTGATTGCTATCCTGGTTGGTCATTGTCCCGTCGTTTGGCCTGTGATGTAGGGGGCGGTGCTAGCATGTGGGACTTGTCATCTAGGATCTGTTATGTTTGTTTTTTGGCACCCTTGTCTGCATCCCGGTTGGTTTTGTCCCGTTGTTCGGTCTATTTTGGCGAGCGTAACGGTGCTTTCATGTGTGACCAGTCATCTGGGGTTTTTCTGTTGTTCGGCCTATGAGAGTATGAATGGTTTAGGAATGGGAATACCCACGTCTTGATGACGAATAAGGCCATCTGCTGTACATAGTTTTTTTTGCAGACAAGAGTATTGTCCTGGGTGGTCTTGTCCCGTCGTTTGGCCTGTGCAGGAGGGGCGATGCTTGCATGTGGGACTTGTCATCTAGGATCCGTTTTCGGTGCTGTTGCTTGTTGCCCCCTGTTTTGTTGTATTTGGCTGTTCCCTTCCTCTTTTCTTTGCCTCTTTGCCCTTTGGCTGTGTGCAAGTGGGTCGATATGACACATGGGGGTGGGGCCAGCCGCCGCTCAACCTACATCCATGTGGGCAGCCTTGTACGCAAGAGGTTCTGAACAGGGGGAGTTGTAAGTAAGAAGATAAAAAATGAATTGATATCTTTTTTGTTTCCTTTTGTTTTTTTCGTTTTTGCGCTCTGATAACTTTGCGACAATATATATGTGTGTGTGTGTGTGTGTGTGTGTGTGTGTGTGTGTGTGTGTGTGTGTGTGTGTGTGCGTGTCACAGACACACACACACGCACACACACACGCACACACACACACACACACACACACACACACACACACACACACACCTGACCAGTTTAAAAGCACAACAGGATACATGAAGGGTGGGGCAGGTGCAGAGAAAGCACTTGCAAGCCCAACTCACGTTATCAGCAGACAAGAACAGCCACTGCAAAACACAAAGAAAGTGAGTGGCTCCCTGGGACTGAAGGGGGACTCAGAAGGCACTGCTCATGACACAAGAGTAGTGGAAGGTGGGTGGTTAACCAAGTGTCAATCACCAGATAAAAAAGATTGGCCGACCACAGACGGGACGAGGGAGAGTGCGACATGAAAACAAAGAACACAGGGAAGTTGGGTACCTGCCTACCGAGCAAGTTGTCGATACCGTCCCATACGAGGGCCATCAAGTGGTTCTGCCTTCGAGAGGGACTCTCCCTCCTTCTCTCCAATAAATGAAAAGCACTCTGGCAAGCTGAGAAATTTGCAGCCTTTTGATTTCGCTTCCTGCATGAATCAAATTGATTCAAAATTAACCAATCCACAAGTAAACCACCAAACCAACCAAACGGGGTGACTAACGACGCAACCAGCCGGCCAGCACCAAGGCCAGAACAGTAAGAAAGGAGCAGTCCCTCTATCAGCCACACAGCCAGCAACCCAGTCAAGCAATCACCCATGCAACCACCCAAGCAACCAATCAAGTAATCAATGCATGGAATCCATCCATCCCTCAGACCCTTCACATCAGGCAATCCCAATTAACAAATTTATTGATGGATCCATTTCGTTGACGTATCAACTTAATCAAGCAGGATTTCTGAGTGGATTCCAAGCGTAGCATGCGTACACCTCCCACACGGGCACTAGGGGCCCCACTTTGGACCTGAACACCCTGAGGCCGCATGACCCACAATTTGGGCAGCGTTAGGGCCATGGACACGATTTTGGCCTTTGGTCTGCTGCATTAAGGCAGTGTCGAGTCATTGTGTCTGATTGTGGATTTTCCCTGCATTTGTTTATTTTCTGAGATTTTGGCTGTTCCCATTTTTGTCCGAGTTAGGGCAGTTTCACTTCAGAGCAAGCATTTTGGTCTGTTTCAGGTTTTATCTGATCTGGGATATGCCGTCTTGGACTTTATTAAAGTTTATTTTGTCTGAACAGGAACTCGTGCCTTTTCAGACCAGCGGAGTTACTCAGTCCACGTTTTGGCCATTTCACGCCAAGCAGACTTTCATCTGCATCCACGCTGGACCTGGTTTTGTCCAGTAGTGACTGGTCCAGCCATCGTCCATTTCTGGAAGTGCCCTCTGAATCAGCAGGGCTGCCTGGACGTCTGGTAGGGACCAAGGCTGGCCGTTTTTGGGCCAGGCACCTAGACCAGAACTAGAGCCTGCATGTAGGAACTCCCATCGTGGTATAGATCAGATGACCCCAGATGCAGGCCAGTAGAGTTTCCAGTAGGCCCACCGGCATATAGCAGGAGCAGCTCTCAGTCTAGGACATGCAGTGTAAGTTCTACACTTCAGCTACAGGCTGCTCGAGAGCAGTGCTGCGCAGAGTTAGCGCTAAGAGAGAGAGAGAGAGAGAGAGAGAGAGAGAGAGAGAGAGAGAGAGAGAGAGAGAGAGAGAGAGAGAGAGAGAGAGAGAGAGAGAGAG